ATCCAATCATGGACAGAAATAACCGAAAAGGGAAAAAAACAGAAAAATGGTTTGGTTCAAGTGTAAATCTGTGCGTCAAATGAGATGCATTTGTAAAATCTGTTTACACCCACCCGACAACCAACTGCTATGCAATACTACTGTCAGACTATCAATTTGTATTTAATGGTGAATGTTGACGCCATGACCAATATTTATCAATTAAGTTTCAGTGGGGAGTAGGGGGTTTGGAAAAAAACTAAAGGAATTAAGTTTTTTATCAGACATCGATATTTTGACGTCGTCCCTTAGCAATCATTTTCAACAGTACCATCATTCACGACTCTACCACCTCCTCCTCCACCTAATCTTACTCTAGATCAATCTCCATCCAGCATCCCATACTATAATCTAATCTACTTGTTTTTACTTCAGTCAATTTGTGTATGTGGTAGTAGTTGCAGTTTTGTAGCTCTTGGTTATTTCCTTTCAGGGAAAAAACAATGTACTCAGTACAGCGAAACCGAAACGACATTTGTTTCCTTAACAGGCTCCAAAATTGCAGAAAGAATCAGAGACAGAATGGGACATGACCCCCTAGACACATTTATTTGTGTTTAGTAGTTTACCCCCAAATCAAAGCGTCGTGATCCCTATCTTTCATAATAATACAGGTCTATAAGCTAAGGTTAAAATTGAAAGACCACGATCCGCTGCTGACTCTTACCTTGATTCCACATTTCAGCAATATGTATACCACCTGGCAAGTATTATCCAATAAATTCGACTTGTAAACCGTATAAATAATGAAGCTATCTGGTCTAGACTTCACTAACACAGTGGTAACTTTATAAGATGGCGCGAAACATTGACCAATCAGATGGATTGTTACAGAGATCGGCGTGACAATCATTTTTTTTTTATTTCGAAAAGTATTTTCAGTCTACAGTAAAATGTGATTCAATTTATTTGCGGCATAGTTATTTATTCCATTAAAATGTTATAGTATTGCTGGAAGGGCTTGTTTGGTGTTTTTTGTTTTGTTTTTTTATTCAGCGGTTCAGCCAATCCTAAGCATCGTTGCGTGGTATGCCTAAACACTCAAAGTCAAAATTATCAAATTCATCTTAATCATATACATAGTGTCAAATAAAATATCTTTCTAGTGATGACATTGCACAATGTCATTTTAACCTTTCGATTTTAATCTAAATATATATATACATCTGCGTGTTCTAAATAACACAACTATAATAATTTCAGACGAATCTCAGTCTGTAAAAAGAAATGGCGCGGATTTCCCTCGAGTTGAAGAGTTCAGTTTGAAGGTGAGTAGGAGGAGTCAGTCATGTTTACTGTCGATAAATATAACAGCTGATAAGCGGAATTTTCCTTTGTTGTTTTACGTCGTCGAACCCACTTACACTTTCGTCGCAGAGATCGCATCGGAATAAACTCGGTATGTGTGTTTATATTATAATACTCAGATGTTAAAAAATCAATTGTTTCAAAAACGGCGGTTTTAGTATAACGGATTGTAATAACATAATAAAGAAGCCCCATTTTAACGCGACTTTTTTGGTCCAACCCTAGATTCAGGGGTCTGATATTGCATCATGATTTTCCGTCGTGTTGTCGTCGTGGTTTGTTAATGTACTGTTTACATTTCCCGCTAAAGTTTGTGTTGACTGTTGCAGGGTTGTTATTTCACAACGATTTCATCATAGTCGTACACGCTGTCGAACGACAAGGAGTTGAATATTGAATTCTACATAAAAAGTAAGTTCTTCTTTTCGCTTCTATTTTCTATCTTTATTTATGGCAGTGAGTTTATTATGTGAGACAACAAAAGTCCCACCGGAAAGTCCCGTTTCTATTTGTGTTTCATTGAAAGCGTTTTGTACAATGCATATTTTTTTCTGACCTGTTTTCATTTATTATTTTTTAATATTTTCAATAATTGTGCTAATATAATAACGTGGACGCCATCGATTCATAATTCCAATTGCGTACAAGACAAAACAATATTTGTTTTCTTTTCGAAGCACTGAGTCAGGGACATGTGTAGCCGTGGTTTCGTGGCGTTTTTGGTCGTGTTGAATTTTTACATTTTGAATTTCAAAGCCAAACTATTCCAAAATATGATTTATTAAAGTATATTGTCTATAATTGCAATTTATCACAGAGATTTATTTCAAAATCTCTGGATATGACTTCAGCTGAATGTCATCAGGGTTGTCAAGACCTTCAGATGACCTCCATCCACGTTCACGTAGTTGACACACTTTCATAAATTATTAGCAAATAGCTTGTCCAATCCAAGGCTGCACCAGGGACGTCCATTCTTCAATGTACCTAATCCTTCATAATGCACAATCAACAATCTCATTATTTGCAAAAATAATAGCTGCTCCTATTTTTTTATTTTATTTTATATTGTTTGTAAATCTAAGTCTGGGTATAACCGTGACCTCAGACAAGTTGTCAGAGGTACATGTATAACTAAATTACCATACAATCAATATATGAAAATTGGTCAGTGGCAGCCAGCTGTTTATGTGAGCTGCCACTTTGGACCATACCATTTATACATATAGGGGTGGGTAATGTCACATATACTCTTTCTTAGTTGGGATAATATTTCATTGAAAACAATGCTATGTTGCATGTAATTTATTTTCACAAATTTGTGATGAGTAAACATGAAAAAAAA